TGTGTATGCTACACAGAATTGTAATTTTATAACCTATATGACTTTTCCATCTTTACTGTGGAAAGGAGCAGCTGCTATTTTACTGGGATCACAATAGGGTGTCATGTTTTCTTTTACCTGTGCTTGGTATGTGGCAGGTTAAGATGGAAAAGCGCTTAGGACTGTAGAGCCAGGTTGTACAGATAGTAAAATGTTTAATAATGTTACTGTGAAACAATTAAATTTTTTTCTTTTTATTTGTGTGTGTGCATGTGTGTGTGGAGGCTAAAAGAGGGTATCAAGTCCCCTGGCTGAAGTTACAGGTGGTTGTAAGCCTCCTGATGTGGGTGTTGGGAACCAAATTCTAGTCTTCTGAAAGGATAGCAAGTGCTCTTAACCACTGAGCCATCAAGTCATGACACAAAGAGTAACACTTCAACAGTTTACATCTGGTGTAAGTCTATGACTTTTAGAGACTAAGGAATCAGCTAGAAATATGTCATCCAGACTAAGTATTATTTACAAGTCTTAGTGTCTGTACACAGAGTTGATTCACTGAATTTCATCTTGACTTCTGGTTTCCATCTCTTCCCAGTGTCACAGATCCCTCCAAGGTCCCTCTTTCAGCCTCTCTGAGGGTATACTGTTCTAACTGTGTGATACGCCTCTTGTAAACTCAGACTGCACAGCAGTCGTCTTACTCTGTGTGTGCATCAGACTTTACCACGTGTTTATCTTCATTTATTCTATGTTCTTTCTTCCCAGACCTCTCACCTGGGATTATTACCTTTCTTCCTGAAGGATGTTCTTGTTCCGAAGCTTCTTTGATTGGTATAACCACTTTTTGCTCATCTAAAACAATCACTATTTTTGTGTGTTCTAGTGTGATTCTCTGTTGCTTTGATAAAACACTAACCAAAAGCTATTTGGAGAGGAAAGGGTTTATTTAACTTACAGATTACATCATTGAGAGAGGCCAAGGCAGGAACCTGGAGGCAGGAGATTGAAACAGGTGCTGCATATTGGCTTGCTCCCAAGCTCACCTTATACAGCCCTGGCCCACCTGCCTTGGGATGGCACCACCCACAGTGGGTTGGGCCCTCCTATGTCAATTAGCAATCAAGAAAGTGGGGCTGGAGAGATGGCTCAGTGGTTAAGAACACTGCCGCTTTTGCAGAAGGTCTGGGTTCCCAGTACCCATATAGAGGCTAACAACCACCCACAACTTCAGTTTCAGGGAGTCCAACACCCTCTCCTGGCCTTCATGGGCATTGTATGCCCTTACATACATGCAAGCAAAATACTCATATACATAAAATACGAACTCCAAAACAAAAATAAAGAAAACACCCTATAGATATACACATAGGCCAGTCTGATGGAGGATATTCTTCAGTTGAGGTTCCCTCTTCCCAGGTGTCAGTTGGCAACCAGGGTTAGCCATCACAATGTGTCTTTGAGTATGAGTGTGTGTGTGCACGTGCGTGCATGTGTGTGTTCATGTTCAGACGTATGCAAGTGTGTATGTGCCCATGCATATGAGTATGTATGTTAATGTGAAGTGTGTATATGCACATGTATGTGTGTTGATGTGCAGATGTGTGCATGTGTTCATGTGCACATGTTATCTAAGTATGCCAGAGGACAACTTTGGGTGTTGTTCATCAGAAGTCATCTGTCCTTTTTCTTTTTGAAAATTTGCTTTAAAAATTATTTATTACTGTTTTGTATGTTTGTGTGAGAAATATGTATGGGCACAAGGGGAGGTCAAAGGACAACTTGCTGGAGTCAATTATATATATATATATTTTTTAAATTTTATTTATTATTTTTATTTTATGTGTTATGAGTGTATTGCCTGAATGTATGTGAGTGCACCCATGTCGTGCTATGCCGCAGAGGTCAGAATGTGGCTTCGGATTCTCCTGGAACTCGAGTCAAGGACAGTGTCGGTGCTGGGAATCGAACCCGGGTCCTCTGCAAGAGCAGTCAGTGCTCTTAGCCACTGAGCCATCTCCCCAGCCCTGGCACTGTTTTGAAACCTTCCTAGGTGGTATATATATTTTTAAGATTTTTGTGTGTATGAGTGTATTGCCTGCATGTGTGTAAGTGCACTTGTGTTGTACAGTGCCCATGGAGGACAGAAGAAGGGATTGGAGTCCCCTGGAACTGGAGTTGTGGATGGTTTTTAGCAGCCATGTGGATGCTGGAAATTGAACCCAGATCCTGTGCAAGAGCAGTCAGTGTTCTTAACTCCTAAGCCATCTCCAGCCTCAATTCTCTTCTATATTTATGTGGATTCCAGAGAATAAACTCAGCTTGCCAGGCCTGTAAGGCAAGCACCTTACCCACTGAGTCATCTTGCTGGCCCAACCTTGTTTTTTGAGGCAGGGTCTCTCACTAGCCTGGAGCTTGCCAGTCTGGCTAGGCTGGTTGACCAGCGAGCCCCCCAGGTTGTCCCTGCTCTTTTTTTTTTTTTTTTTTTTTTTTTGGTCTTTTTGAGACAAGGTATCCCTGTAGCCTCAGCTGTCTTGGAACTCACTATGTAGGCCAGGCCAGCCTTGAACTCACAGAGATAGCCTGCCTCTGTCTCCCGAGTGCTGGGATTAAAGGCGTGTGCCACCACGCCCAGCTGTCCCTGCTCTTCTAGCATTGGGATCCCAAACATCTGTTCCCACACTCGGTTTTTATGTGGGTGCTGGGGATGGAACCCAGATCCTCATGCTGGCCCAGGAAGTACTTTACCAACTGAGCTATCTCTCTAACCGCTTGTATGTCTTCTTGATAGAATTTTTTATAATTATTCAAATTGAAAGTGTCAGATACTTCCTCTTCTGTCATGGGCTGGCTTCTGTTCTGTTGGCCATCGACTTGTTAACTGTCAGCATCTTTTTTTGATGTTGCTTGCAGCTTGTCCTCACTTTCGTTGTCTCATGGACTCTATTTGTAGATACATGTTTTTTTTTTGTTTTTTTGTCTTTGAGACAGGGTCTTCTTGTAGCCCCAGCTCTCCTGGAACTCACTATGTAGACCTGTCTGGCCTTGAATTCACAGAGATCCATCTGCCTCTGCCTCCCTAGTGCTGGGATTAAAGGCGGACACCACCACATCTAGCTCAATTTTCTATGATTTAAACATATAAAAATGTATCTCATAATTCTAATATATGAAGTCTACAAATCTAATACATGGGTGGGTTTCTTTGGACTTTTTTTTAGTGTGTATGAGTGTTTTCTTCCATGTATGTATGTGTACCATGTACGTGCCTGGTGTCCGAGGAAGCCAGAAGAGGGCATCGGAGTCCCAGGAACTGGAGTTACAAAGTCGTGAACTCCTATGTAGGTGCTGGGAACTCAACCTGAGTCCTCTTAGAAGAGCAGCAAATGCTCTTAACCACTAAGCAATCTTCCAACCTCTCTTCTGACCTTAAAAAAAAAAAATTTATTTGAGACAGGGTCTCCCTGTGGCCCAGATGGCCTGGAACTCGCTATATAATATAGACCAGGTGGCCTCTCAACAGAGATCTACCTGCCTCTGCCTCCCAAGTGCTGGGATTAGAGGTGTGTGCCACCGTGCCCAGCTCCTCTTCTGACTTTTCTTATGTGGGGTTTTTCTTGACTGTTTATGATACCTTATTTCCCTGTGTATTTTATAATTTTCATTTCTGTGCTCATATTTATTGGAAGTATAGCTATGGAAAGAGTTTGATGCCTAGTGAAACAGTGGCCACTTTTTTGTTTGTTTTTATTTGAGACATGGCCTCACTATGTTGCCAAGCTGGTTTCAAACTGATGGACTCAAATGATTCTCCTGTCTCAGCCTCCCAAGTAGCTGAGGCAACATATATGTGAGAGCATGCCCAGCCTGGGGAAATTTTATGTTAGCTTCTGACAGATATTGGAGACATTTAGTTTACCTTAAATTAGGACTCTTAGCATGAAGTTATTAGGACCATACAAATAATTTAGGTTCTACACTTTGGGGAGGCTTTTTGTATAATTGCTAAAGAGTCCAAGTTGAGTTTGACTTTTTCCCTTTAGGGACTTAGACAGTAGAAAAGAGTTGTCTCAGTTCTGGAGTCTAGAAACCCAACAGTGTCCACTGGGTTGGTTGCCTCTGAGGACTGTGAAGGAGAATCTACCCCACGCTTGCCTCCCAGCTTCTGGTGATTGGCAGGCTATCTTGGACATGCTTTGATTTTTGGCTGCATCGCCCTGGTGTAGCCTCATCTTCACATGCTATCCTCCATATTTCTTCTCATAATAAGGACATGAGTCATAAAATAGAGTGAACCGAAGATTATCTGCCCTATTTCACATGCATTTGGGACAAATGGTTCTGTAGGGATGACTGTACACTGCTATGAAGTCTGAAACTGAGCATGCAAATGTACACACACGCAGGCTTTCATAAAGGTTTTGTTCTGATGCAGATATCTGTGGATATTGCCCTGACAGTCATTTTGACACCCTTTAGCTTCCAAGTGACTCCTGAATTTCTAACTGTGGATTGTGGACATTTACGGTGAACAAATACTTTCTGAATGAGTGGATTATTATTAAATATTTTATTTAATATTTTTATGTATTATTTGTATTTTAGTGTATGAGTGTATTGCCTGCATTAGTGCATCTATGTCATGCAATGCCTGAGGAGGTCAAAAAAGGGCATCAGATCCCCTAGAACTGGAGTTTTGGATGGCTGTTAGCTGCCATTGGGTGCTGGGAATTGAACCCAGGTCCTCTACGAAAGCAGCCAGTGCTCTTAACTGCTGAGCCATCTCTCCATCCCTATTATTTGTTTTTAAAATCTTAATATGTAACCCTGACTGGCCTGGAATTCACTGTGTAGACCAGGCTGGCCTTGAACTCACAGTGATCACCTGCTTCTACCTCCTGAGTGCTGGAATTAAAGGTGTGCACTAGCACATCAGGCATAAGTGGATTTTACACATGAAATGAAATGTTAGTGGTCTGACTTTGCTAGTGTCCCAGCTAACCTGGGTTTGCTTTTCTTGCTAGATGACCGCTCCCTGGAACAACAGGACTCTTCCCTACACTCCCTGGAGCTCCTGCTGGAAACCAGCACCGTGCACAGTGCTGCACACGTGGCCTTTCCAGAGACTGCTCCAGGGTCCCAGCCACGCAGCTCTCTCCTAGTCCCATCCTCTCCATCTACTACTACTTTTGATATGGCCTTTTTAAACCACCAACGACAGCCTCTAAGTACAGCAGGGCACAGCATCTTAGAGGCGAATTACAACTCAGTGATGAGTAACGAGGTGGCCGTTGATGATGATGAGCTGGATAACTTTTTGCCAGATGTGCACTGGACCTCTTCACGCACAGTTTCCCCAATGCAGTACATCACACTGAGCCCACTAGAACTGCCCCAGGAAATGCTGGAGCCTGGGCTGACTCCTTCATTACCCACGATTTCTTTGCAAGATGAAGTGATGTCAGCTTGTCGAAACACAGTGCAGCAGGCAACTGCGCATGCCGAGTCCTCTGGCTATTTCAACACTTTTTGGTCAGCTTTTCTCACCTCTGAGGGCATCATTCCAACACCTAGTAGGAATCCAGTGCTTCATCCTACAGAAATTCACAGTCGGTTATCAAGCAAGACTTTGCCGGAGATTGTAGCTTCTGTAACAGAGGACATAGAAACCCTCCTTTTCAGCTCCTGGATTTCAGTGCCTCAGCCATTAGGCGACAGTATGACTCAACACCCATCTGTCCCCTTGAGGGAGGTCTCAAAGCCTCTAATGAGTGTCCTGGCCATAAGCACAGACAGATACCCTGACGGGACCACTGCCTGGAGTCAACCTCCAGAAGCTATCTCACTAAGAACACACCCTACTGTAAATATGTCACCCACAGACCCTGTTTTCAGTAGCACACCCTCAACTTTGTTTTCAAGCCCTCTTGTGTTTATATCTTTTGCTACACAATCAGCTGGTATTTCAGACAACCCTTTCCTTTCCAGTGAGGCTGGGGAAGTATCACAATCACCTCCCAGCCCCACACTCCCAAGTTTTGCTGACCATACTCATGTTCTGAACCCTGTGGCCTCCTTGAGAGTACATACTTGGTGTGTGTCCTGTGTTATGATATCACCTCATCAAACTCTGGCCAGGAGCCTCACAGAGAAAGATGTGGGGTCAGGGGATGGGCCTGAGACCCTGTCTGTGGCCTCAGTAGAAGTGAGCAGTCTTTCTCCACAGAGCAGTATGGGGACAGACCTCGCTGAACTTGAAGATCTTCAAGAATTTAATACCCTTTTCCCTTCTAGACCAGTCATCTCCCTTTCTTCAAGATCTGTGGGAATGTGGAAAGCCAGCTTGCACGTGTCAGCTGAGGTGGATGAGGGCAGCCTTTTCACCACCCAGGAGTACTCTTCCCATGGCCACCTCTCCACACCAAGCTCACTCGACCCCACCTTTGGCTTCTCTGTCACCAATGATCTTGTGATGCCATCCAGTGTGACCCCTCTGTTTTCTGTCATCACCAGTACCCATTTTGACTCATCTTTTTTTGTCACAGCAAATCAAAGCACTCCATCCCTTTCTGCTGGAAACCCAAGTCTCACCTCTTACAGTTCAGTCCCCTCACTAGAGTCTAAAGTTTTGTCTGGCCAAGAACCCATCAGCTCTTTGGAACACGAGTCTGGGGATCTTTTAGAGTTCACATCCAACTTTTACTCAACTCCACCACTGGAGCTCAGCAGCCCGACCCCTTCACCTTCAACGGTTCCTGCCCCTCCTTCTCTGATGACAAGTGATCCATCAACCTTCCTTTCTCAGTCTTTTTCCACCCTGACTGAGACACTCTCATTGTCCAACTCTGTCGGTTTGCCTCAGCTGTCTGTTCCTAATTCCATAAACCTTGAGTTGTCTCAGCCGTGGCCAAGTTCAGATCTTCCTTTGGAAACAATCACTTTTCTCCAGAGTCACTCTGAAATCTCCCCACTCTCAAGCTTCCCTTCTGAGTCGCTCAAGTTCACTGAAGCATCGACAGTCTCACCGACAGAATCTGATGTTCGTTTTACCTCGGTTTTCTCTGAAACTACCTCCACCATTGAATTTTCACCCATTCACCATGAGTCCGCAGTCACCACACTGGTGCCCTCCAGGTCCGAGCCCACCCTTGACATTTGGATTGCTGGGACTCACTTCACGTCACTGTCAGCTTCTTTGCATTCAACACCCGTGTTAACTGAGTCTTCTCCAGCCCTGACTCCAACACCTGGTGGCACTGCCCTTGCCACAGACCCCCCCACATCTATCCTACTCGCTTTCTCCAATCCCATTTCTACAGAGTTGATGTCTGACTTGTACCTGTCACCCTCTTCCTCACTTGTTTCTGAGGTGAGCCCTTCACCTCTGCCCACAGAGCCAGCTGTGGGCTCATCATGGACACCCACAGATTTACCACCGAGCTCCTCCCCTGAACCCAGCACATCCCCTGAACCCATCACATCCCCTGAACCCAGCATGCCCACCACCAGCACTGCTGCTAGAGACACTGTGGACTCTGCTGTGAATGTTGAACCTCCGAGTCAGGACCCTCAGGGGGACAGTGCACCCCCTCCCCAGCCATCCTTTGGTCCTGTGACCACATCCACTCTTGAAGGCACAGTTGGTACTCCAGTACTGGCCACAGCCAAGCCGCCATATGTGTGTGATATTACAGTTCCTGATGCCTATTTAATCACAACTGGTAAGGCCCTGCTTCTTGTCAGTTCTCTGAGGTAGGGGAACTATCTAAGGTGCTTGTATGTAGTACTCATAAGACACATCAACCTGTGTGTCAGTGTTGTATTCACATGACCTGTGGGTAGTGGTTGTCTTCCTCTGCCCACCTCCTGCCAGCTCTCAAGTTACTTAGTTTCTTAATCTGCTTCCACAGCATTAAGCAAGGATGGTAGTTATGCTGGCTCCATTAGGTTATTAGGAAGATTTATAGGCATAAAATACGTAGCCCAGAGCTTGGCATTTGGGAAATGAGCACAGACTATTACATCTAGTTAGTAATTACTGTAAGAACAGACAAACCATTTAAATGAGCTATAGAGGTTTTCAGGAGGGTCTTTGGCTACTCATAACCCAGTATAACCATAGATGACACAGTTGAAACTAAATACGTTCTTGTTTATTTCTTTTTTTAAATATATTTTTATTATTTTTATTTTATATGTATGTGTGTATTGCCTGCATGTATGTGAGTGCACCGTGTTGTGCAATGCCACAGAAGTCAGAAGGGGGCTTTGGATTCCCCTGGAACTGGAGTTAAGGACAGTTTGTAGCCGCCATGTGGGTGCTGGGAATCGAACCCGGGTCCTCTGCAAGAGCAGTCAGTGCTCCTAACTGCTGAGCCATCTCTCCAGCCCATGTCTTGTTTATTTCGCGATGAACTGGGCAGTTGTGTCAGGATGGTGCTACATTTCCCGACTAATTTAATATTCTTACTTTCCTCCTACGTATATTTGAGTCACCTGGATCCTGAGGTGGGGGGAACTGAATAAACAACATCCTCTGAACTGGGTCGCGCTCCGCTTCTCTTCTCAGTCTGCAGCCTTGGTGACCACTCAGGCTGCACTGGATCCTGCAGTGGCAGGCTGCTCTAGCTGCATGAAGCCATAGTCCACTTCAGGCTGTGCCTGGAAGGGTAGACTTACCTCAGGAATGATAGGGTCTTGTGGCTGTGGTCGTTCCTCACCAGACCTGACTTGTGTGTGTGTGGTATCTCGTGAGCTATTAGTGTATGCTCCCCTTTGACCAAATGTTGGCAACGCCCTGGCTTTGTGTGTTAGTTTTGGAAGAATGGGTGACAGAAATGAAGAATGGACAGAAAACAGCAAGATAAATAGAGGGGCAATTCAGGGGAGAAGACAAGGAAGGAGAGGGACAGGTGCAGGTGGAGGGGGGAGGGGATGAAGAACATGTTGATCTTTTTCTCCCTTCTTGGTGAGTTGGCCATGGAGCCTCTGCTCACTGTGACCATACCCCCATCCTCTGAACAAGAGTGGTAGTCGTGGTGGCAGGGATTTTGCTATTTGCACCCCAGATGGAACCTTTGTAATTCATATTATAACCACTGAGCACTTCCTATGTATGAGATGCTTCTAGAAGATGTAAGGGGCGTACAGATGAATAGGGCATAGTCTTGGAGCCTACTAAGATGGACTGACTACCTGGGATGGTCAAGGTTGGGTTTGGAAGAATGTGAAATTGGAGTGTTATACCAAAATAAAGAGTAGAATGCTGTCATCTGGAGACAGGAGGTGATGGGAGGAGTCCTTCAAGTAGGGAGGCATCTGCTTGACTGGAAGTTAGATTAGATAATGAGAGGAGTGGGTAATTATGTTAGAAAATGAGCTTGAAATTAATTATGTTAGAAAGTGAAGTTGAAACACACAGTCAACTTTGATCTGCCAGATTAGGGCAGACTAGACCGGAGGTAGAAGAGGGTTTTGTTTTGTTTATTTTTTAAATTATTTTTTAATTTTATGTGTATGAGCATTTTGCTAGTATGTAAGTGTACTATGTGCATGCAGTGCTTGAGGAGGCCAGAAGAGTGCGTTGGATCCCCAGGAACTGTAGTTATGGATGGTTGTGAGCTGCCATGTGGGTGCTGGGAGGTGAACCTAAGTCCTCTGCAAGAGCAGTTGGTGCTCTTAACTGCTGAGCTGTCTCTCCAGCCCGTATTTTTTTTTTTAATAGAGCATGTTTTTTCCTTTTTACAAAACAATTGCAAAGGAGCTTCAAATGATAGGTTATAAAGGAACTTCTTAAAAGAGTTACTGAAAGCTTCGTTATGAGATCCTAGGATATTTATGAAATGTAACCATGTTGCACATTTTATAATTTTTCTATAATTAGAAGCACTTTTAGGAGTCACTGTAAGACTGTCAGGAATCATATAATATAAATTTAAGTTTTATACATGATACACATCAAATGGCATTTGGTGTCCTTTATGCAGGTACACTTGATAGCTCTTTGGATTACAGATCACCACTTGAACAGTTTCAGGAACTCTGCAGAGCTGTGTTGTCACACTGTTCGGAGAAGAGTAGATACCGTATCTTGCTCTTAGTAACCAGCGTACCTATCAGCTCATTTGCAATCCTCATTTATATTGGACTCAGCTTCTTTCCTATTGGTAGCTATCTGTCAGTGAAAGGGTCCAGCAAAAGGGTAGAGGTGATTCTTTTTGATGGAGCTCTGTAATAACATAGGAGCACTCTAGGTGCTGTTGATCCATGATGGCCTGTGGGGAGACCTCCACTGAGGGGAGTCATGCATCCTCAGATCTCTCCACCTCTCTTCTCTTGGCTCTGGAGAAGTTGTAGATAGTTGGAAAACAATTTGTATGATATGTGTGTCTGCATGGTTTCTGTTTTCCAGAGACTCACATCCTCATATTCTAGGGAAACAGTTTCTTCTTTTCCTCAAATAAACCTGAGCAGGTGGTGGCTACGGTCGTGGTCAGTGGGGACCATTTAGAGTAACATGGTTTTAAGTGATTTCTTTAGCTGACCAGGGCTACTTGCAGTGTGCACCTCCTGCCTTCTTTAGGGGTTTTCTGGTTTTGACTTTCTACTCTGCCTCACTTTCCCCAAGTTTAGCTCTTGCAAGAGCCAGCTTTCCCTCCCTCCACCCTCATTTCCTTCCTTAACCAGGGTGTCTTTTTCCTCTTCCTCCTTTCCTTCTGAACTCATTTTGTCTTTCTTTTTATCATCCATGACATAGTCTGGTCCACTCAGAGCCTAGCAGGCAGTGCCCAGTTGGCTGTTAGTGTGACCAGCAAAACCGCCAGGGCCATGTATTTGCTGTAATGAACTCATGAAGTGCCACTTCCCACCTTTTAAAACCTGTACCACTGATTTCCTAGAGAAACCATCAGATGTAGCTTAAGCATTTGCCTTTTTCATGAATGAAGAATGAGGAGTGATTCTGTCTCATGTTTTAACAGTTAAGATCAGGTAATGAAAATTTGCATAACAACATCAAATATATTGTAATTCTACATTATGGAAGCTAGTGGCTAATGGAAGAGGAACAAAGAAATACTAGGAGAAAGAAGGAAAGGAAAGGTTACTAAACAGTGGGCAACAGAAATTCATTGGTACAGGTTTTTAAATGGGACATTTTAGATGGAAGGAAAAAAAAACCAAATAGAACTAGACTTTGGAATAAGAACTATTTTATTTCCTCTGTGAAATGTTAATACACAGAGATTAGGATTTCCCATTAGTAGTGATAAGCACCCTAGATGCTGCTTTGAACAGTTAGGGTGGGAGTCCTTCTGAGGAGGAAGATAGCATCTAGCTTGTTTGAGTAGCGTTTTACAGACTTTAAAAGTATTACCTGTGAGAGCTTTTAAAGCCTCATCCTTTGCCATTGGATGCATAGCTAGAGATGACCTGGTATTTGTTCAGATGAAAATGGGAACTGGAAGCTCTGTGTCCCCTGGCTGGGTGACAGCTGTTGCTTCCTGATCTTCCCTACCAGGGGCAGAGTGCACTAAGGTGTGAGACGATGCTATTCTTCCTAATACTTAGTGGTACTTGTCTCTTTCTGCTCTGTTCTTACTCTGGGCCTTGTTTTGCAAAATATAATTAAACTGTTAGCACAGTTTTTCACAGCCCTGGCTTCCAGAAGTGTGACACCTTCATTCTTCATTGAGGCACTAAATACATTTGGTGGTTGGCTTTCATTTATAGTGCTGGCCAGAAGAGCTGTGCAAGAGTACATCATTACGTCAATCAAAGAAGTTTTGAGGATTCACTTCAACCGTGTGGTGGAGCTGAAGGTGAGGTCCTGGAGCCTGCAAGGCTGATGTCTGGCATGTAGTCTGGGTCTGATGGCAGGTGGTAAGATCCCTAGAGTCTCTGTGTCCTCTGTCCCACCCCTCTCCTGGTTCATACTACTTTTCCTCTGCGTCTCCACTCACATGTCATTTTACTGTTTGTGTGGAGGGGGATCCATTGGCAGAGTTTGAACAAAGAGACTTCTGACCAGAGGTGGCACAGTTAGGGTGATGGCTTTAACAGTTTTGCTTTCCTTGATTTACTTTAATAAATGACTTGGATTTGGGCTTCGGTTACTGCATCTTTCTGTACATTCAGTGAGCTAGAGATGGATTTCCACACTGTTTATGTTACACCCATGATGGTGTCCCTTTCCCAAATAAACTCAGAAAGCCCTGCTAGCTAGTCCTGTCCCATGTCTAACCAGCACCATGAGCCATGTATGTGAAATGAGACTTATCTGAACTAAATGTACTGAAAGTGTAAAATGTACCAGATTTCAAAGCTGCAGTGAACAGAGCAGTGCAGAATACATTGCTGATAATTTTGCTACTGACTACACACTAAAAAGATGCTTCATGTATTAAGTGAAATGTATTTAAGACTAATTTCACCTGCTCCTCTGCTTTTCATTGTGTTTTCCAAAAAATTTAAAATTGTTTAAGTGACTTCTGTTATGTTTATTTTGAACCATGGGGCTCATTTAAGTGTGGCTTAAATACAACAATCTTGAATTTTCCATAACTCATTATTTAGTCCACATTACTGGCTATTCCCTTTCTTGCTGGTCCTGTACTTTTGTGCCATTTTGTGAAGGTTGGGATAATGTAAAAGTAAAACAAAACAAAATCTTGATTATCTTTGAAGCATTTATCCTTTCATTCAAACTGCCAATATTTATTAATACACGTTTTATTTAATTTATTATTTTTCTATCCAACACAAGTCCCTTTAAGTTTGAATTGTCTTTTTATTTTTCATTTCCCTAGGTTTATGAAATGTTCACTGACTTCACGTTTCTGGTCACATCTGGCCCTTTTGTTTACACGGCAATATCTGTCATTAATGTCCTACTTAATAGCAAACTTGTGCGCGACCAAACTCCTTTAATCTTGTCTGTGAAACCATCTTTCCTCGTGCCAGAGCCCAGGTTTCAAGTTCAAACAGGTGAGACAACTGAGTGAGGATGTTTTGGTTTGTATGGAGAACTTCATTTTTTAAAATATTTTTTTAAATTGGGGATTATGGGCCAGCAAGGTGGCTCATTGGGTAATGTCGCTTGATGCCAAGCCTGATGCCCTGAGTTTGATCCCTGGAACCCATATGGTAGAAGGAGAAAATTGAGGCCTACAAGTTGTCCTCTGACCTCTACATGTACACACATACAATACACACATACCCACATACACTCACACACACAAATTAATTAATTGATTAATTAATGTAAAATTGGGGATTATTTTTAAATTTACTCATTGATTTATTGAGACAGAGTCATGTATGTTCCAAGACTTCAGCTCCTGGTTTCATGTGAACCTTCTGACTTGGCCTCCTGAGTAGCTGAGATCACATGCCTGGGCTTCTTGCTACACCAGGCTCTGTTATTTAATTAAAAAAAAAAAAAAAGACTTTATAATCATGGAAAAATCAGGAACATACAGAAGTACACAGAATAGTTTAATGAACCCCCTGGACCCACTGTATGCTTTGAATAGTGTTCAGTTCTTTAATGTGTGCATGTGTGTGCATGCATGTGTAGCCCAGAGGACAGCCTCAGTGTTGTTCCTCAGGCACCTTACACTTCGGTTTTTGAGACAGGAACTCTCTCTGGCTTGCAACTCATCAAGTAGGCTAGGCTGTCTGACCAGCCAGCCCCAGGGATCCACCTGTCTCTACCTCTTCTTCAGCACTGGGATTACAAGCAAGTGCCACTACATTTGGCCTTTTTAAAAATATGGATTGAGGGATGGATCTCACATCCTCCTCATGCTTGCAAGGCAAGCACTTTGCTGAATTAACTATCTCCCTGGTCCCAGCAGCTTTCAATTCTTGGTCAGACATCTTCCACCTACACACCCATCTAATTTTCTTCACGTTTCGCAGTAAATCTTGGGCACCATATCATTTTATTCATAAATACCTCAGCCTGTATCTCCAAAAGAAAAGGATTCTTAAGCATTCATGCAGACACACACACACATACAGCCCTAGCTGTAGCATACTCCCAAAGTTAACAGTAATTCCTTTATATCACATTAAGTTTTTATTATGGACATTCTCAATCATGTACAAATGTAGAGTGCATAACATATTAAGTTCACATATGCTTTATTGATAAGCTTAAAAATAATCAAGATTTTTACCAGTTTTCAAACAAAATTGGTAAAACTTTTTTGAAGGTGTAAGAATGTTTTAATGTGATGCCAGATGCTATGTCATTTCACTTGTGCACACTTAATAATTCTTCTGTAATGAGTTTTATATATTTGGAAGATTTCTGAGTTGTATCTTCTGCTGTATAGATTATTATCCTAGTCTGGATATGAACTTCTGGTCTGAAATGGTTCTGCTGACTCAGCCTTCTGAGGGACTGAGACCACAGGCATGCCTTCACGTTACATGGATTCATTTGGTGAAAAGTTGGTGTTCTACATTTCTGTAAGACAAAACTGAGAAATAATGTGACCTACCCATGAGCCTAGGAATCAACCAAGTAGCCCTGTACAACGTTCTGTAACCCTAAGAAGAGTTGAGCAGCCCAGTCTCAGAAGCTATGCCCATTGAGTCTCTGAGAAGCAGCAAGCAATCCTGACAACCTGCTTTCAACCCCAGGAAACACCTTGTTAGCCCACCCTCAGCAGCTTGGCCCCCAGAGACCTCTGTAAAGTCACCTTTACAGCCCTCATCCTGCCAGAACATTTTGCCTCCCGTAGGACCCTTAGACCCTGACAGTTGCCCTGCCCAGTAATTGGGAATGCTGTGCACTCACCATGATGCACTGGGGTAGTCTTGTCTCTAAACAACCTGTAGAAACTGACTTCTATCCCAGAGTTGGTGGTGCACTCTTAGAACTTCTGCAGCCTACGCCAGTGGGACACTTGCAGACACAGTCCATATTGATTACAGCTGAAGGAATTGTTACAGGCACTGTACCTGAAACCAAAGCCAATGCAGCTTTTCCAGCTGACACCATAGCACACATGGCCAGGAGAAAGTCCTTTATTTTGAAAGTCATCCTGTAAAATTGATAGAAGCAATGAATCCAGTAGACATACAAATGTCAATGTAGGGAGACAAGAGGGATGAAAAGCAAGGCAGCCCAGCACCTCTAAGAGAACACAGTAACTCTCTAGCAATAGACCCTAAACAAAAAGAAATTGATGGATTGCCTGGAAAAGAATTACAAAATAGGGACTGGAACAATATCTCAATGGTTAAAAGCACTGGTTGCTTTTGCAAAGGATCCAGGTTTCATTCCCAGAACCTTCAATAGTGGCTAACAACCATCAGTAACTCAAGTTCCATGGGATCCAGTGCCCTCTTCTGACCTCCATGGGCATTGTACAACATGGGTGCACTTACATACATCCAGACAAAATACTCATACACATAAAATAAAAATGACAAATAAAATATTTTTAAAAAGATTACAAAATAATGATTTAAGGAAGCACACACAGATAGTCCAAGAAGACAATTTATGATATACATGAGAAATTTGGCAAAAAGTTAAATACCATAAAGAGTGTACCAAGTAGAAATCATGGAACTAAAGAATGTAGTCAGTGAAACAGAAAATATAGTTGAGCCCCTCACCAGCAAGATACATCAGGCAGGAGAAAATATGTCTGAGCTGGAAGACAAGATTTTTGAAATAATTCAGATAAGGAAAGAGAAAAGGAAAGAAATTAGGAAGGAAGGAAAAAAAGGAGAGGGAGAAGGGGAGGAGGGAGAGGAAGAAGAGGGGGAGAAGACTTATGGGTCACCATTGAGGAACCATTCATGTTATAGGTGTACCAAAGGACAAGAGAAAAGCCTGGAGAAGTCTATGCAATGAAATAATTGCTGTAAATAGTCCAACTCTTGGAAAAGATGTGGACATCTAGATTCAAGAAACTGAAAGGACCCATAATAAATTAAACACCAAAAGATACCTCTCTAAGGCATATTATAGTCCAGAAAGAGCATTCTAAAAACAGAGAAAAGTGTAAGCCACATGTAAGAGAATTCTCATTGCACTACCTGCAGACTTCTTGGCAGAAACTTTATAGGTCAAGAAAGAATGAGATGAAACAGTTGTGAAAGATACAAACTTACTAACTAAGAATACTATACCTAGCAAAACGGTCCTTCAGAAATGAAAGAAATCATCTTAGACTGGGAAAAGGGGGAATTATAATTACTAGCCTGTCCCTTCGAGAAATGCTTAAGGAAATCTTACACTGGAGGTGTGGGGGGGTGACATTCACCAATGTGAAAACACACGAAAGCATGAAACTCACTAGTAGAAAAGATACATAAAAGAGAAAGAATAAATCAAACCTTATCAACACAGCCAACAGATCACAAAGATGAGCAGTAAGAGAGGAAGAAAGAAGGAAAAGGGCATTAAAAAATAATTTAAGAAAATGACAGGACTATGTCTTTGCTTATCAGCAGTAACCTCAAATGTAAATGGATTAAACCTCCCAGTTAAAAGATATAAACCAACAAAATGTATAAAACAAAACAACAAATGAACAAAAAGCAAGACCTAGTTTCTTGCCTACAAGACATTCACTTCACCAGTAAAGACACATATAGGCTGAAAGTGAAGAGATGACAAAAAGGTTTACTATGTAAAGGGAAACCCAAAGTGAATAGAAATAGCTATGCTTATACAAGATAAAACTGTAAAAAGAGACAAAACGGTCACTACAGAATGATAAAGGAGTCAATTCAATAAAAAGAAATAACAGCTGCAAACGTATACACATTCAGTGCTGGAGCACCCAGTCATATAAGACAAATATTGCGTGGGCAAGGGGGGCTAGTGAGATCGCCTAGCAGGTAAGGTGTCCGCTGTCCAGCCTGACCACCTAAATTTGATCTTGGGATGCTGTGGCAGAAAAAGCTGACGTCTGCAAGTTTTTTTTTTTTCTTCAGACATGCACATAAAACAAATAAAAATGTAATTAAATGTATTTAAAAATCTCAAAGGAAAGACAGATTCTAATCCAAAAACAGTATGAATATCAAAAATCCATCTTCATCAGGGAACGATCATTCAGACCAAAAAACAAGAAAACCCCAAACAAACATTGGAGTTAAACTATAGTATAAAACAGATACCTACTAGACATTCACAGAACATTTCATCATCTGGGCACAGTGGCACACACCTTTAATCCCAGCCCTGGGGATGCAGAGGCAGGCTGATCTCTATGAGACTGAGGCAAGCCTGGTCCACACAGTGATTTCCAAGTGGGCTAAGACTAGGGAGACCCTGTCAAAAAACAAACAAACAAACAAAACAACCAAAAAACCAGAGACCAACAAAAACCAAAACCGAACATTTCCTCAAAGTGCTTCAGAATACACCTGTTGTCACTTGGGATATCCTGCAGGAGAGACCACATGTTCTGCCACAAAAGAAGCCTCAATAAATTTTTAGAACTTGAAATATAGTGTGCATCTTCTCTGACCACAATGGAATCAAACTGGAAATCAATAAGAGCAGTTTTGGAAATTCTACAAAAGCATGTAAACTAAACAATATTCTCTTGCTTAACCAGTGGATTCATGAAGTAATCAAAAAGGAAATTTAAAAATTTCTTGTGACAAATGAAGACACAATGTACCTAAACCTATGGATATAACAAAAGCAGCACTAAGAAGGCGGCCCATACCCACTTTCCTTAAATTAATCTAATGACACAACCCAAGGAATTAGAAAAGCAAAAAGCAATCAAATTCAACTTAGTAGAAGGAACAAAATAAAGATTATGGCAGGAGTTAGTGGAATACGCACACGCACAGAAGATCAATGAGATGAAGAGCTGCTTTTTTGAAAAGATAAACAAGACTGACAAGTCTTTAATGATACTAGCCAAGAAGTGAGGAAGAAAAAGGCAAAGGGACTCCAAATGATCAGAGATGAGGGAGACATTACAACTGATGCCGTAGAA